TCATTCGGTCCTAATTTTAAAAGTCTTAAAATTTTTAGAAAATTAATTTACATTATAATGCAACAGAGATTCTTGGACTCTGTTAATGTGAAGATCTGGTGGATCACATGCTGCAAGTTTTTATTGTGGGCAGATGCTTAAAAGCGGGTAAAACCAAAGAAAATACCTTCCTGTTGTAGTGTTTTCATGTAATAAACTGCCACAGAATTGCGGTCATATTTGAGTGGAAATAACTATGCAGTCATGTCCTAAACTTTGCTATAGATATTTTTGGGTGTTTCTTCTACATAAAAGTTGTGTCTAGGGGGAGTTTGGTGACTCTGCTGTGGGGACTGCAGTACATCTGGGCACATCTCTCCTATGTGTACACTTCAGCTTACATGAAGGGTTCAATTTAGTGTGGTTTTTGGTTTCAATATGAGTAAATATAGGCAGGGTGTCCCAGAAATGCTCAGATTTACTGTACCTGCATAGTCCTGACAGGAGGAAGAAAGTTTATGAATCAGTATCACTCTTGAGGCATAGTTCTGTCTGAAAATATTTGCTATATAATGTCAAAGTTAACTTTTCAAAAAATAAGCTTATATGGACCAGATATGACAGGAGCAAAAAAATCTAAATGTCTAAATGATGTGTTTTTTCTACAACTCGTATTGAGCCACAAGCTCTTTAGGATAAGGACTTAGTCTTTTTTGGTCTATAAAACACATGCTTGTAATAAAACCATTATGATAATCCTGAATTATTGTTATAATGCTAATTAGCAGCTATTCTTAGTTCGGAACAGAGGAATGCTGTTGAATTAATTTATCATGGAAAAAAAGGCTTTTTGTACATTTGCTCAGGCCATACTCAGCAAACTAGGCAGTGACGCATACTACATCTGATACCATATGCCTATAGCATGTTAGACATAGTAGAGCTAAAATTGGCATGCCCAGAAATGCTGTAAAGAAGGGGTATATAATGGAACATTTATTCTTCAGTTAAGTTACTGCTCTGGAACACCATTTCTCCCTTGTCCTCATCTGTGCAAAGTAATAGCAGATAAAGATGTCTTATTCCTGTGCAGAATTTCAGCACGCCGTCATGATTGCTTTATTATTAAGATTCATTTTATAAACCTTTTCAGGTACTGATTGACATAAAAGTCTTCTTTCTGGGGTTTTGCTCAAAATAGAATGGTAATGTATAGCTGAAGCATGTGTCTGTCTTGGATAGTTTTATAGGGTGCTAATGTCACACCCAGAGACTTTTACAAAGATGGACTATGGCACAACCGCATAATGTCTTGATGTTTTTGGAAGATACAGTTGAGAAGAGGCGTATGCTCCTGTAGTATTTAGTCCTGTAGTCGTAATTCTGTAGAAGGTTTTGAAACAGACCATTGCATTAGTTGAGTGTTACCCCAAAGGAATTGTCTTATCAGTTTGCTTTCTTAGCAGGGTCAGCTCAGTTTTATGCTACTTGTAAATTGTTACAGGTGTGTAGTGTAAGTTACTGTTTTGCTTCTGTCTGTAAACTCATTTGTGAAAGCAAAACCCCTTTTGGGTTTTGTTTGTTTGGTTTTTGATGTAGGCATCAACTTCTATGAACTGAACAAACCAAAGTTAAAGCAAAATCATAGCAGTGATTTTGGAGTTACAAAAAACTACTGAAAAAGGAAAAACTCCACGTTGTAACCATTTGCTCTTTTGTAACTGATGTTGCCAGAGGATTGAATAAGATTAGTTATTGGAGCTCAAGCTTACCTGTTATTTCAATATGTTTTATGGATAAATATGTACATAAGTCAGATTTTGAAGATACGTGCTATAAAATACGCAGATCTTGGAAGACGTAGGTGGGTCTGAGCACAGGCGTGAAAATATGTAATAGTTTAGCTGCGTAAGCGCATGCAGGTTGTCATCTGTGTAGGTTCTGGAATTTACAGGCCCTTCTGCAGAAGCAAAAGGGAGACATATGATAAACCTCTCAGGTTTATGGCTTTGGATGAAAGGCTGGTGGAGCTTTTCTGTACTGTGAACAGTTTGGTACTGGTCTGTGAAGGCTGTAGTCCTTTGTAGCTTCCCAAGCCTATTAGTTGCGGTTCAGGGAACTTAGAGTGTCACCGGTGAAGCCCGTGGAGCTTGTAAGCAGTGCAAGCCTGAACTTGACAGCAATCTCAGACACCTGGTAGTCAGAAGTAGATAGGCAGAGCAAGTGGCTCGTGAGAATCCAAGCCTCATCCAGGTTGGAAATAGAAGAAGAGGGGGTGATTCTAGTGCAGACAGTACTGGGAGATGAGGAAAGTCCATTTTTCATATTGACTTTGTGGTTGAGATGTGCCTGATAGCTTTGAAACTCCTGTTGAGGTTTTTCAAAGAAAAGTGAGCTCTCTTCTTCCCCACAGCTTTTGGAGTAGAGCCTGTGCTAATTTGGTGTCTTTTCTTCCACAAAGAAAACCAATGCTACTGTCTGCTTCTGCATTTGCGTTCCCAAGGAGCAGCTGCCTGAAACTGGCAAAACCGGTCACTTTGGATTTGGGGTGAAGCTGGGATAATGCTGGTGATTTCGTTCTGCAGCTTGGAAAAAAAAAGCGCCAACCTGTGAGCAGCAAGAGAAAGCGTGAGGCTGCCTGAAGGTGCAGGAAGGAGAGCTACATGGTTTACACTTTAGAATGTGTTTGTAAACATGCTTGTAGGAAAAAGAACCCTTTAGTCCCTATTGAGAGTACCTAAGTGTTTGGTTTTTTCCAAGCCCTGATACAAAGCAAATAACTGAAGTTTAAAGAACTCCCCAACACATTTATTGGAAAAGGCAGTGATTAGGAAGGACAGAAAGTAATTAACTCTGAGAGCAGGTGACTCAAGTGGAAAAAATAAATAAAAATTCAATATGTGAACTGTGGCAATGTGTAGTTGGGTTAAGAAATTCTTAAAGATGATTTTCTCCCCTATGCTCTTTCTTCCTCATTGTCTGCATGTTTGTTTTGTCTACTCCTGGTTGTCCAGATATGTTCTGCTTTTTTGTTCAACCAGTGCTGCAGAAACCTCCGTACCTGGAATTTTCCAGCTTGAGTACTTGTGGTCTGCACAGTTCTGCTGCCTCACTGTGCATTTCTTATGGAGTTCTGCTATGCTCCACGTGCTGAACCTCTGACACATCTTACTAACTAGATCTGGTTCTTCCAAGATGTGTCATGTAGTAGCTTTTGGGGCTGAATTTTCTTTTTTTTCAGTAAATGCTGTTTATATGGAGGATCAGGGCAACCTTCAGGAAGCTGCTACTGCAGTGTGCTTCAAACTTGACCTGAAGGATTCCCTGTAGGAGTGATAGGTTCATTAAGTCCCGTTGACGATTTAATTCCTGGTGCTTTTGAGACATCAAAATAGGAAGGTAATTAATGTCAGTGTCCATTATATCTTCACTGTGCTAAAATGTTACAAATGTCTTTGCTCTGAATTGCAGTTGCATGGTAACACTTTCTATGAGATTGATCAAATTTGATAGTGTGATTCCCAAATGACTCTGCAAATAAACAAACACAGCCAAACGGCAATGATGAAATAAAATTGACCAGTTATTCAGTGTGAGTCAAAATGGAATCAGAAGAGCAGAGAACTCAGCAGAAGCAATCCCTGAGCTCTTTTTCTTATGTCATGTGAGTTTCAGAGCTGCAAATTTCAAAATACTGTCCAAAGGTGAAGGTGGTGTCCATCTGACTGCTCCTTGAGAACAAGTTACTGAACTTCAAAGAACATACTTCTGCCATATCAGGCTGATACCTTAATATAAGCACCAAGTATGCTGCAGTCTGTGTTGCATGCCCTTGTTTTGACAGATTTCATTGCCTCATATCACAGCATGCAACTGTCATTTTCTGATTTTGTTTTAGCAACCTTAAGTGAACAGGGAATGTGTTATCCTTAGCTGCATAGAAAAAATAAGGTTCAGATTAAAAATGCTCTTAACCCTGACTTGATCTGTCTGGCAGTATTGGTGAACTTTTGGTTACTAATTTGGCATAAATATTAAAACTGGTGAATCAGCTGGAGAGACAGCAGAGGAATTCTTCCCACATTTGTATAAGACCAGGCAGAAGACAAACTAATTATCCTCTAGTTTAGAGCATATGAGGAATTCTAAGGACAGCTATTTTAGTGGCAAGTATCTGCTTGTAAATTTCTTGTTTTTCCTTAAAAATAGCAGGGTTTGAGCAATAGTTGTTTTCACACTCCAGTACTTCCGGTGTTTCTTTGCTTGCAACTGCTGAATGCTGCTGTTTATTCCCTTGTGAAAACAGTCAAGAACAAATGTGATTTCTAAAATCAACTAATCCTTTTTCCCATTCCTTTAAAATAAAATTACTTGTATGTTCTTCAAGGCAAAGATTTTCTTTCCACTGAAGTCTGCATCAGGCCCCTAATCTCATCGTGGTTAAAAGCTATTATAAAACTGATTTGAGAAAGTTCTAAAGGATATGCTTTTGCTTCATGGTTCTGAATGCTTTGTTGAATAGTGACTGTCTCTATTGCAAGCATAAATAGCATCTCTTGAAGTTCAGAAATGTACAGATTGTTTTCCTCTTTGTGCACATCACAGCGTATTTCTTATTGCTTAAAGTTGTATCTGGAGCTTTTTATATACAGCAGATTTAGGAAGAAGTTAAAATCTTGTTTTCTGAGAACAGGTAACTAGGAGAGCCTTAGTCATGTAATTCTAGCAGGCATTCTATTTTGATCTCCAGCATCAACAAAACTGCTACTATGTTCTGTAAAGTCTAATGTCCCTCAAGCATGCTTCCCGCACATCTGTGATTGCCTTGTTGCAAATGTTTTAGAGAGTCATGAAAGTGGCATTTGAGAAAGAAGAATCTAGAAGATGTATTATAATCTAGCAGTATCACAGTCATGTGCTGTATTTTTAAAATTATCTGTAGATATCTGACTGCTAAGGAAATACATAGTTTTGAGGTGATTTAGGCAGGCTATCAGTTTGTAGAATGAACGGCGAAGCATAGAGTTCATGGCTTTCTTGTTAACTGGGTATGTATTTTCGATTTTAGGTTGGAGGCAGTAAGCACACAATGAATGAGCACCTCCATGTTGGTAGCCATGGACAAATCCAGGGTCAGCAGCTGTTTGAAGATAATAGTAACAAGAGGACGATTCTGACGACACAGCCAAATGGACTTACAACACCAGGCAAATCTGGATTGCCAGTGGTTCAGGACAGACAGTCGGAGAGTGCTCAGAGACGACGAGGGAGCTCCAGCTCTTTAAAATCTACAGATGGAACAGGGAAGGTGAAAGCCTCTGTTATGACACCAGAGCAGGCAATGAAGCAATACATGCAAAAATTAACAGCTTTTGAACATCATGAGATTTTTAGCTACCCTGAAATATACTTTTTGGGTCCAAATGCAAAGAAGCGGCAAGGTGTGATCGGTGGGTCAAACAATTTTGGGTATGATGATGACCAAGGGTCTTACGTACAAGTACCCCATGATCATATTGCGTACCGATATGAAGTCCTGAAAGTTATAGGGAAAGGAAGTTTTGGGCAGGTCGTTAAGGCCTATGATCACAAGATGCATCAGCACGTGGCGCTAAAAATGGTGAGAAATGAGAAACGTTTCCACCGCCAAGCAGCAGAAGAAATTAAGATCTTGGAGCATCTCCGGAAACAAGATAAGGATAATAACATGAATGTTATTCACATGTTGGAAAACTTCACATTCCGCAGCCATATCTGCATGACATTTGAATTGCTGAGCATGAATCTGTATGAACTGATAAAGAAAAACAAGTTTCAGGGCTTTAGCCTGCCTTTGGTCCGCAAGTTTGCCCACTCAATTTTACAGTGCTTGGATGCTTTGCACAAAAACAGAATCATCCACTGTGACCTTAAACCTGAGAACATTCTGTTGAAGCAACAGGGTAGAAGTGGTATTAAAGTGATTGATTTTGGCTCAAGCTGTTATGAGCATCAGCGTGTCTACACTTACATTCAGTCACGTTTTTACCGTGCACCTGAAGTCATCCTTGGTGCTCGTTATGGGATGCCCATAGATATGTGGAGCTTGGGCTGTATTCTAGCAGAGCTTCTCACCGGTTATCCGCTTTTACCTGGAGAAGATGAAGGAGACCAGCTGGCTTGTATGATTGAGTTATTGGGCATGCCTTCTCCAAAACTCTTAGATTCATCCAAGCGAGCCAAAAACTTCGTGAGCTCTAAGGGTTATCCCCGTTATTGCAGCATCACAACCTTGTCTGATGGCTCTGTAGTACTTCTTGGTGGACGCTCTCGGAGGGGAAAACTGCGTGGCCCGCCAGAGAGCAGAGAATGGGGTAATGCATTAAAGGGATGTGATGATCCCCTGTTCCTTGACTTCTTAAAACAGTGTTTAGAATGGGATCCTGCTATCCGTATGACACCAAGCCAGGCTTTGCGGCATCCCTGGCTGAGGAGACGGTTACCAAAGCCTCCGACTGGGGAAAAGGCTTCAGCGAAGAGACTTACAGAGAGCACTGGTGCTATAACATCGATTTCCAAGTTACCTCCGACATCAAGCTCAGCTTCAAAACTGAGAACTAATTTGGCACAGGTGACAGATGCCAATGGGAATATTCAGCAAAGAACAGTGTTGCCAAAACTCGTTAGCTGAGTTTGAAAAACCCAATGCTGTTAATCTGAGAAATACAATGTGGCTGAGCCTTATTTGTATGAAAAAGTAGCTCAGATATACATTTTTATTTGCTCAATAAATTTATTCATTTGTATCTTTCAGCACTCATTTTAAATGTAAGAAATGTTGACTTTGTTTTTATAAAAAACACGGGGACAATGCTTTAAGTTTTTATACTTATTTTTTAAAATGTTTGTCTTCTACAGTACAATTAGCCTTACTGTAACTAGTGTGACACAGTAATAAACATCAGTGGCAGGCCACTGGTTACAACATGACTGTCATGCATTGCAGCGTGGTTCCATGGTTCATATTAGGTTTCACCTTGGGTAAATTTTAAGATTCATTCTCTTGGATTTTATGGGTATAGGTTCTTGATTCTGTGAACACTCACATCTATGCCTGCCTGGAATCCAGGGAGACTACTCAAAAGAATGCAGTTTTAAGCACCTGTAAATTTGTAATTTGAAGCAGAGCCATAGCCTGCTACATTGTCATTTTCGGTATGGTAGCCCAGAGAAAGGAGTGTTATTAATGATACACTCCCCTGCTAAGTAGTACTTTCTCTATTCAAAAGTGATGGGTTTTTTTGTTAAAATGAGCATTTAAATATAATGCAAAAAATAAGAGCTTCCAGGGCTAAAATGCTTGTTTTACCTTTGCATGCTGTGTGGTAGAGTGAGTGGAACAGGCAGTCTCAGAAAGAGTGAAGATGGAAGTATGTCTGTTCCTCTAAATCTGAAAGTTGATGAGTTGCTACAGCAAAATGTTCTGGGCTTCATTTCAAGGATATACCATTGAACACTCACACTGGGCTTTTTTTCCCCCTCATTTTCTTTTCTCTCCTAATGTGCAGCTTGGTTTCCTTAAGTCACAGAGGCAGAAGTGCTCGTTCTGTCAGTTTTAGACTGTAACTTGTAGACTGTTATGCTACATGGATTTCACAGATTGCTTTTATTTCTTCTGACAATGTTTGAGCGACTGTGACCTCTGTGGTACATTTACACTTCAGAACAAATCTGCGTGTACGGGCAAACACTATGTTACTACATTGCTTTCTGTAGAAAAGTACTTCACCTTAGACAGTAAAACTGTAGGTGGAAAGATCCTCAGTGGATAGCTTTACAATTGGCAGACACCATCCTAGATACTTCTAAGAAAGAATTATCAAAGGAAAGTTAAATGGCTGGAATTTAGTCTTTGGTATTTGTAGCTGAAAACTGACTTTGAAAGAACAGTTATAGATACGTGTAGATTTGTTCGTGTGTGTGCTAATGCTTGATTTTCCTTTTTTCCTTTTAACTGCATTCATGGAGGAAAGATGGGCTGTACTGAGGAATAATATCTAGACCTATGAGTGAACTATTCACACGTTGTAGCATGTTTTTAACAGGAACAGTTTGAAATCTAAGATCAGTATTTTGTCCTGTACAATGGCTGTGATCTACATTGGATGTGTAAAACATACGAAAAGGGAATTTCAAACAAAATAGAACATAATTTAGAAGGGTTTTTGGATGCTAGAACAAGACATACTAGGATGGATTGTGTTAAACCTCAATAACTTAACTTTAAGCAACATTTATATGCACAGATATTTCTGAGTTACTGTACAAATTATAAAAATTACTTAAAGCATGGTCCCCTGAGAGGCCAAGAAAGTTTTGGGTTAAGTTCTCCTTCATACTCATTATTTTACCACTTACAGCTTAATTTTTTTGTTTGATTAGTTGGTTTATTTTTAGTTTAGTGTAAGACTGGGGAAGGGATATAAATGCAAAATGACAGAACTCTCAGGAAACATATCGCTTAACTTCTTGCCAAAAAGTCAACACCTAAAGAAGCTCCAAAAATAACTTCTGAGTAGAGAATGGTTGATAACTGTAAAAATTAGACCATCAATCAACCATTTTCTTACTTCACAAAAAAATGATTGTTTCCTGCCGCTAGTCGAATTAAATTATTGCGTTAAATGTTCACAACATTCTACAATGTGTGTAAGTGCAATATGTAAACATGTATGAAATAATGTTAAACAAAGAAATATAGTAATACAGCTAAGAAAAGTGGCTTTGGGAATATGGATATCCAGTAAGTTATGGGCAGTAAATTCTAAGTCTGGAAAAGAGATATATTAATTTTCATATAACTGACTCTCATGACTGTGGGAATACAATACTGTGTATTTTTCTACAGTAGCTTTCTCCACCACCTGTTTGGCTTTACCACTACTTTCTATCTTAACTCTTCCTGCAAAAGTTAAGAAATAGGGATGCTTATGTTAGGGGCGAAAGAAAATCATCTCCCTTAATGTATTTTAAAGGTAACATCGATGCATGTTCCTGCCTCTTGTGGCAGTTTAACATTCATGGGTCATTAATGGGCTAAAACCACTAAACTTTCTTTTTCATGTAACCAGTTCTTAATGCCAACAATGCATTTATGATCCGTTTCTTCATAAATGCTCCCAGAAACTTTTAAGGCCAAAATATAGTGTGCAGAGCTATTTTTTTAACCCAGATACAGTGGAACTTCTTCTATACTAAAGGAGCAGCTACATCAAGGTTTTTAAGTGATGTAGCTGCTTTTTATTGTAGCTTATTTATACCTGTAAAAAAAGGAGGGAGAGGGGGAAAGGACGTTGCCTCTTGCTTTGATGTGTTTTTATTCTAAGGGCTCTGATAATTAGGCTGATAGAAGTTGGCTTGGAAACAGTGCTTAGTCTCACATGTTACCATTATCTGGGGATGTCTGAGCTATTTTCAGATTTAGTAATAGCACAGTGTTGTCTTGTCTTTGGTTGCAGTCTCACTTGGCTCAATTTTTTGCACCACTGGAGTGTTCATTACCACTTAAGTGTATTAGAACAAGAGAGTGATGCAAGATGTGTAGATTAACAATAGAGGACGGATTGTGCCCTTGGTGTTAACAATGTGCCTTTTGTTACAAACGTTGTGGGGCATGCATCTTGGCCTCTGTAACCCTTTGAATACTGGATGGTAGGGATGAAATCTATTTTTAAATGCTATACCTGTCTTAAAACATCCTGTAGATGATTTGAGGCCTTAATAGAAACAATAAGGCAATCACATTGCTAGGGTGGAGAGGACACTCTGTTCTTGTTGTACGTGTCATTAAGGGGTTAAAGATGGCCCTTCTTCATTGGTTATACTTTGACATTAAATTGATTTGTTTTAAATATTTTTTGTTATGTTGACTCTAGACAGAAGTCAGCTGTATTTGTAAAAATTTACCTCAAACTCTTTAATTTTATAGCGTGATTTAATCCCAGGGCATTTGGTATGAACCAAAGTGCATTCCTTTTATATGTGCCTGGCTCTTACAAAGGTGGCCAGGGATTTTTACAATTTGGGTGCAAGGCACTTAAGCCACTTTTAACTTGGTGGGTGGTTTGGAGTTATAAATGACTTCATGGGAATGTTGAAAACACTTTAGACACAAGTAGCATCGGGCAATATTAGAATCTTTAGGAAGGGGTGTGCATTATTTAATGCTCTCCATTTTTTAGTATTTTTTTCATCAATAATATTTGTGATAAGAACAAAAAGACTCTTTTTCCAGTCAGCAAAGATTAGAATATTGCCCAGTTTAATGCTATGGTAGCATTTAAATAAAACAACATTTGTGAATTATTGTTTCTACGGGCTTGTACATGTCTGCTACAAATTGTAATTACTCAGTTCAACTGCTACAATTAGGTCTAAGCAGTAGCTTGGGTTTTTATTGGGCAACGACTTAGACACGTGACTGTAATATGCTGCAACTGTGTGTACTGAAAACGTGAAAAACGATTGAATGTGGACGGTGTATATATGTATGTATAATTTTCTGTGAGATGCTGCTGTTGCCACTTAACATTAAAGATGTTGTAGTGGGTTTTAATCCTAGTGGCCAGTTTTATGATACTGTATGTATTGTACAGCTGATGACAGGAGTTAAGACTGTTCTAGTGAATATTTGTTACATTTTATTGTTGTGGCCAGAGATCATTTCAGAATAAAATTTTATGTCCTACTTTACTTCTCTCCACTGTAGTTTGGATTTTTTTCTGGTTGTAAAGAGAGCCCTTGGAGCTGGCGTTTCTTAAAATATGGACAGGCTTCCTCCTAGCCTGCTGAAGTCAGTGCCAGCAGTGCCTTTGTCCCCCAGCATTGCCTACTGGTATTTGTATATAGTAATTACCCGTTGCTGGAGGATGACTTTTCTGCCACTGTATGTGTCTTGACAGCCTTGGATATTGCCCAAAGGCTGTTTTTGCCCTGAGATTTGTAAAGTTCTTCTCGGGACATAGAAAGTAATATATTTTGTATTTTTGTTTTCAAGAGAAAACATCTTTGGCAGGAATTTTGCCTGCATGTGTGTTTTAAATTTTTTTTAGCTGCTTTTTAAAGATATTTAAAAATGAACAGTAGATCTGATTTTGTAAGGAATATTTGATTGAGAAAGGTGCAGTATATATACTTTTTCTTAAAACTGATTTTAAAAAGCTGAGAATTCTGCAGTGATTTTTGAGTCAGTCTGACTTTTCAGAACTTGCCAAACTTTGTAAAGTCCCAGGATAATGAGAACATAGTAGACAAAGCTGGTAGGCTAAACTGAGCTAAATTCTGTTCACATATACATCCAGAGTAATTTCTCTGTTTAGCGCAGAGCTCTCAAGAGTAATTGGCCATGTTCTCTTCTTGGTAATGTCAGTGTACACCCAGAGCAATTTCACTGAAAAGCTTGCTGATTCAAGTGAGCACGGGCTGAAATCAGGGGATTTTAACTGCACTTTAGTGTCTCCTTTTCAGCATTCCTATGAGATTCCAGAGCACAGAAACCATCAAGATTAAATATAAACACAGTTTACAGCCCAAAGAGTGCAAGCCAAAAATTACATCTTTGTGAATTAAAAACTATTTGTTAATTACTCCGTTCTTCTGAGGACAAAGACTTTTTTTTCCTCTTTAGTTATTTTAGCTTTTTACATGGATTTATTTTCCTTTTCTTCTGTCTCTCAACCCTCTCCTCCAGCTGTGTATCCCTTTTGACAACTCATGCACACTTCTGTCACACTTGTTTCTTCATTTGAAGAAGGGTAGGGGCCATATCGCCCGATTTCACTTGTCTGGAAGTTAGGTTTTGGCCTGTGCCATTTCCTGAGACTCCCAGTATCTGGTGGGGGAACCGCGTTGCCCTCTGCCAGCGCTGTTCCTTCCTGGTCTCTGACTGAGCGCTCAGATCCCTGCCGAAAACAGGGGCCTCGGAATCCTGTCCTGAGTGACGGTCTGTCATTGCTGTTACCTTCACGGTACTTCCTTTTGTGAAGAAGTTTTGGCTTCCTTTGGGTGACAGCTTTGTATCTCTTGGGTTTGTTTTTTTTTTTTACAGCAAGCCAAGTAAGAATGTGTGAGGTGTAATGACGATCACGTACCATGTCCTTTGCTTCTAGGTGCTGCTGCTTTTCACAAAAATACCATTTAGTCATCTTTTTTTAAGATCTCGTTATTCAAAGATCCAGCATGGATTTTACTCTTCATTGGAACATGAGCAATTAAAATGTGGGTAAATATTAAGAGAAAGTATATGTATAGGGCCATCTACGGTCAGGAGCTGGTATT